TCCTGTACCCAGACACAATAATTAAGCACATTCCCACATATGCCTTCAACCTAGTGCTCTAAGCAATAAACCTACTAAGGGTAATATTAGGACTTAAATACATTCACTTGGACTGATTTAACTTACATATTTTATAATAGGTCAGCAAAGTACCTGGAATTCAACTGCTCTTCCCCTTTCTCTTCTCTCCTTTAAATTAAAATCTTTGTTCACCTAGGGATTTCTGTATTCTGGAGGATCTGATTTGCCTACAATAAAACCAAAGAGAAGCCACTCACATTAATAACCAATGAAGAGCATGTTCAGTGGGGAGAACCACACACACACACACACACACACACACACACACACAGAGTCACACACACAGAGTTGAGCTCAGAAACTCTGAATACAGTGACAAGAGATGCTGGAGAGGGAGGCAACTGCCTGTTGATTGCACAGTATGCTTGGGCATCTTCTGCTTTTCATTTGCAATGTTGTATATTCTGTTGGTAGTCTGATTTGTTATTTTTCAGAATAGCTACAGAGATAAAAATTAGCTTCAACTTTGCTATTCTTTTGGCTTCCACAACTCATGAAACAGGCCTGTCTGCTTTTCAATTTGTCTCTCTTAGGAGATTCAAAATTGATTTACTTAGTTGGATTAGGTTGGGTGGAGGCAAAGAGGCCAGATACTGTTCCAAAAAATGGGCTGAAAAAAGGGTTTTACAAAACCAAGATGGGAGGAGATGAAAAATAAGGAAGAAGTGAAAATGATGATGATGTTGATGATGCTGTTTTTAACTGAGACTTTTAAAGGCTGCAAACATTGGGAAATCAAATTAATGACCCAAAAAATAAACTCAGATTAAGAAATGTCAGGTTGGAGAGTAATCTTGATGGTGTGGAAGTAAAAAAAATACTGACCTCCCCCACCCCTCCCCTGAACATATGACATTGCAAAAGTGCTCCGGATGAGTAATTTTTAATTCTTTCTACAAACCATATCATCATTTCCTCAAAGCTTGATTCGGTGACAGCAATCTTTATACGTGGGATGAAAAATTCTTGCAAGGAAAGGCAAATATTTTTATTTTCTCTGGCCTCTGATGGCCTTTTGTTTTTGGAGAAGCTGATGGAGCCACCTACTTTATTTTCTGGACTATAGAGCTTCAACCAGTTAAGTGCTCTAAATGTGAATCACATGCTTAGCCGGCTGACTTTTATTATTCTTCTTAAAACATACAATCCCTTGGACTCAGTATCTTTTTAAGATTCTGCTGAATCAAATGGGGTTTGTTTTTTTTTTTAAATGGGGTTTTGAATAATAATACATATTGTAAAATATGTAAGTTAAATCAGTCCAAGTAAATGTACTTAAGTCCTAATATTACCCTTAGTAGGTTTATTGCTAGAGCACTAGGTTGAAGGCATATGTGGGCATGTGCTTAATTATTGCATCTGGGTACAGGAAAAACTTGGGCCACCCATTCAAAAACTTTCTTTCTTTTTTTTTTTGGTACCAGGGATCAAACTCAGGTTTGGGTTTTTTATTTTAGACAAAAAGTAAGATGCAAAACATTTTCTTCTTGATCCTACCTGGAGATTCTCGGTATCTGTTCTACAGTCTGTGAGCGGCATTTTATTGATGGGATTGAGCGTGGTGCATAATTATCACCTCAATAACTGAGAACAGCAATTGAGCATTTAGTCCATGTCACACACCATTCTCAATGTTTTATAGGTAATGGGTTATCATCTCCATTTTACAGATGACTACAGCAAGCTGCCATAGGGTTAAATTATTGCCAGAGGTCACATAGCTATTGCAGGAGAGACAGGACTCACATCCAGGCTACTTTAGCTCCAGAATCCACACTTTCAACCACAATACTGTGGTTCAATGTTATATATAGGCACTGAGATTTTAAAAATAATCTATTTTTGGAAAAATACATTCACTGACCCCAGGGTTAGTTATTTTAACAGTAGTAAGTTCTCTTTTTGGTCACCCATTCATTTCATGGAACAAGTTTAAATACAGAACTAGCCAGAGTCCTGGCACTGCCTAAAGAGTACAGTAAGGTGTGGGCTGAAAAACAGAAACACATGCTTCGAAAGACCTTTGCTTTACCTTCCTAGGTTCAATGGCAACATTTTCATATATTCCTTGTTAAAAACATGGAGATAAAATGTGAATAACTGGCTTTAACAATGAATGTCAATGTATTTCTTTGACATAATGCCTACTTTAATTTCCTCAGCAGTAGTGAATGATATTCCTAATTAAGGGCACAGAAGAAAGAATGTCTTGTGGACTATGTAAGTTAAAGGTGTGAGAAACTCCTGAGTGACCCAAGGCTAAGCCACTCTCAGGAGGAAGAATGAGTTGGCTATTGCATCCATCAGAGCCACAGGAAGGGCAGCGTCCCTGAACACGTCAGGCTCTCAGTGTGGCAGGGAAAGAATGATGTCCTTCTCTTTCCTCTACCGAGTAACAGAAATGGCTACCTAAGGTGGCTGAAGTGACTGTACACTGGCTAGTGTTCCATCAAGGGTGGAAGGTGCTGTGTGGAACAAAATAGAGAGGAATTTAGAAATGAAAGTGGAAGAGATTGGCCCCTAAAATGGAGGGGAGAGGGGTGCAGAATTGGAATCTCAGAAAGGGGACAAAAGCTGCCCATTTCCAACCCAACTGCTAATATTACACGCACCGCCTTTCCCTTCCTGCTTTGCAAGATCTGATGTTTGCCACAACAATGGAAGAACACATTCTTGTGAAAACAAGAGCTCCAACTGATGAAGGGAAAGTCACCTAAGTAACAATGATCATTAAGGAAAATATGAAAAGCCACAAAATTCCAGCAAATCACAACAGCAATAGGAAAACATCTCATTTCTTTCTTTTTATAAAGTAGTGTCTAGATAAAAAGTATTCCTCAAAATTATAAATAAGAAGAGGTAGCTTAAATAACTTGAAGAGTTCTCTTATGAGGATGTGCTCTTGCAAGTTTGGTGAAAATGTAGCCATACCATGATCATTATAATGGATAAAGAATCTGGATTTTGAGCTTGGAGGTTCAGGCAAAGCAGGCACAAAATCTTATGCAGGTGTCTCTTTGTGAAATGGGGACATTTCTAGGGGATTTTCAGTACTGGGGATGAGTGAGTTGCGGTGTTTAAGATTCATTCAGTTCCCATATGATGCCAGGCTTGACAACCAGTGAGGGCTGTAATGTACAAGGCATGAGTATCACTTGTAATTTCTGAAATTATGGAAATTAGGTATAGTAGCTCTTATTACAGATTATACATAAAACCTCTCAAAGACATTTTACTTCATGCTGTATAGTATGGTAAAATTATGATCAACATTATACAAATCCAAATAAAGAGTAGAATTTTGGTTCAGTTTCCTGTGAGGCATGAGATTTCAAGTTGACCCATATTTCTAATATGATCAAGGCAAGGCCATGCCAATTTACAACTAGGATGAAAAACTAAAATTCGACTCATGATTTAAATGTTTTTCCTGCCAGGTATATTCTCTCTATATTTTCCAAACTGAAGGCCAATAGCCCAGGTCCAGCAGGCAGCAGGCAGAAAGGGCTCAGGCCTAGCGTTCCTCCTCTTTTTGTTGTATCCCAGCCCTCAACAGGTTGGACCATGCTTCCCATATTGTCCTGCCAATTCAAGGGTTGACCTCATCCAAAAATAGCCTCACAAACACACCCAGAAATAATGTTTAATCCAGGCAATCCAAATTAACCATCACAATACCCATTCATTAAAATTTTTAAAAATAGAAATAAGTATAAATCCTTCTTTAAAGAATCAAGTACTTTGACCAATTCCACAAGTAGGGAGAAGCAGGAGCCAAGTTACAAACCCAAAGACTCTGATCTCAAAGCCAAGGGTTACTACATTGTAGTTTAGAGTTCAGCTAATTTAATATTTGGGCTTTTTTTCACTTAACATTGTGCCAAAGTATATTTAATATTTAAACTTTCTTAGGGTTTTAAAAAATATTCTTTCAGTTACCCCCTTCCAACTGTATTTAGGGCATTTAAAAACTGGCTTAGATTGGTGTAGTGGCAACTTGCCTATAATCCCAGCACTCTGACAGGCTGAAACAGGAGGATTGCCAAATTCAAGCCCCATCTAAGCAATTTAGTGATTTAGTGAAACCATGTTTCAAAATAAAAAATAAGGCAAGCATGGTGGCGCACACCTGTAATCCCAGCACTAGGGAGGCTGAGTTAGGAGGATCGCCACAAATTCGAGGCCAGCCTGGGCTACCTAGTGGGTTTAAAGCCAACCCGAACTACATAGTGAGACCCTCTCTCAAATAACCTAAATTTAAAAATGAAAATAAAAATAAAAATAAAAAGGGCTGGAGGTCAGTGTAAAGATTCTGTGTTCAAATCCTAGTACTGCATTTTTAAAAAGTTTTGTGTTCAGCATGGGGGTCAGGTTGGGGAAGCTGGCACAGTGGGATTGGACCATGCTGGTAACACAGATTGCTTACAAGATCTGGCTCTCCTGAGCCAGGGCTGGGGTTCAGTATGGTCAGTGTGAGAGGGCAAGGGCATCACATGTCTTTACTTCTAGAAAATCAGAGAGCAGTTCAGTGTATTTTAGTTGGTAGGGAGAGTTCTTGAGAGGAACATTCAAGTAGTAAAGAAACACAAATTTATCTCCTGGAGATATCTGAAGAAAGAAGAGAGAAAATATAATTTTGCCGGTATGGTTAGTACTAGGACCCTAGTGCTTTGTACTAGGATTGACAGAGCATATTACACAAACCCCTTGCTTTGCCCCTTGCCTTGCCTCCATGTTTTTTCCACAAAATGTTTTGTTCCTGAAAGGTAAACATTTGCGCTGCAGGCCAGCCCGCCTCCCAGTGTATCAAAATGCTTTGTAGCTGTCTGAACTGCTGACCTCTCCAGAACGTTCTGTTGGCTCCACCCCTCTCAGGAATGTTCTGTAACTCTGCCCCCCTGCTTTGGTGAGCATGCTCACCTACCCCTAGATCCCTGTATAAGGAGGCGCCCATTTCTGGCGAAGCGCTTAGGCTTCGGAGCACAACTCCACTGAGCCCTCCAGCGTAATTAAAGGTTTGTCTCCACCTCTTCAAGTGACTTTCGGATTCTCAAGTCTTCGAATTGCAGCAGCAGCGGATGCGTATAGCACCGAGCTCTTCACCTTTGCCACAACAGGATGAATCTACGTAGATGGGTGTGTACTAATTTTCCTAAGCTTTAGATTTGTAGGGAATGCAAAAAATCTAAAATGAGCCTTCATTCCCCCAAAAGAGTTACTCAACATAGTACTACTCTCAAAAGGAATACTAGTTTTTGATGCTAGTACCCATGTTATTCTAGGATATGGATTTTACAACTGCAGGATTGGCAATGTTATCGTCTTAATTGGTGCATGTTTATGATATGTAAAAATTACATTCATTTTAGCTATATATATATATATATGTATATATACATAAATCTTGATCCTTTTCAATCGCCTTCCTCGCTCCTTCCCTCCCTCTTCTCCCTTTCCCTAATCCCCTTCTCCTTGTCCAAAAAGTCTACATCCCCGTTTCCTACCATTTCTCCTTTATTTTACTCCTTTATAGTTTGGGTTTCTTGACTAAGATATGTCATCCTCTGTGTCTGACTTATTTCACTTAGCATTGCGGAGTTGCAATCATTGCTTCCTCCCTCGGGTCCCCTCCCCCTCCTCCTGGGAGTACTTCCGCTCTTTGGGCACTCCTGTCTCCCAGGCAGTGTGTTCTTTTCAAATGTTGGGTTTGCTAGCCTCTCCAGCTTCTTTCAAGAAACTGCTCTCCCTCTACCAACAAAGATACAGTACCAAAGTTCCTTGTCAGGCGCACACCTATGCAAATGCCCCCTGTAGTCACTGATGTATCAGATTTATTTAACAGTTTGTAAATTGATTTCAAATTCAATCTCAAGCTCTCTGGCAGTTTCTGTGGCCAAGAGCTGCGGCTCAGATCCTTGCCTTAAGAAGCCCCCACCTCCCGCCAGCAGCAGCTCATTTTTTCCTCTGCTAAAGCGCATGCGTGGCCCCATGCTGGCAGTCACTTCTTTTAGCACTGGCTAATCACCAATATGTTCTGTTAAGTGAGATTCATAGATGCTGATTGCATTTATTGCATAAATTACTTCATTATTAAAATCAGGTCATTTGAGCCCCCAAACCATTAACATGAAGGCTATTAACATAATTTCATAAGCTAATAAATCAAGCACAGGAAAAGAATTAAAGGGTTCTTAGTGATAAGTGTTTCTTCAGAGATTAAGGAACACAATTTTCTTACGCATATATTAACATTTTATGAGTGGATTCATGCAAGAGTGGTTTTTTCTCTTTGCATATATGACTCACTTCATCTTACCCTGTGCTTGGCCTCTGAAACTGATTTTTAACATTAAGGTTTTTTTCCTTTTCAAATAACTGTAAACCAATTTTCAAATGAACTTGTTAGCCTTCTGTGATACTCACTTTTTGTAAAATTCTTGTCTTTGCACATTTTGTAGACTGCAAAAGCTTGGGATAGAGAGAGAAGAAGAGGTAAAGTTGAAGGAAAAACACCTAAGATTGGTCTTAGATAATGCAATTTTCATTCCAGGTGAATTTCAAATGTATTGCTAGTCTTAACAGGTTCTAGTGAAGTTCTAATTATCTCTCTAATTACAGCACATACTGAGGTTAAGTGTTCTTATCAAATGGTGCATTAAAAATGGGTTTTATTCCCAGGCTGGATGTAATAGGCTGTGCTACTGGCCTGAGCACTCAGAAATTGGTTTCCTCGTTCATTTCACTTAGCAGATTGGGAAAGGGTGGGAGCCATCATTACCCAGTGTAGTCATGTTGCCTAGAAACGAAGATAACTTCCAATGTAAATTAGACTATAACAACTTTATCCTTTGTGCCATTTGTGTAATGTTTTTTGCAAATAGCAACTGATGGATCATAATTGAAATATGCATAAGGCTGTTAGCAAGCACTGTGTGTGATTTTATAGGCAAATTTGGGAGGCTGGTGGACTGATGCTTCTCTGTATGAACAAGATAGTGGCCATAGGGCTGGGGATTTAGCTCAGAGATGCCACGCCTGCCTCACAAGAGCAAGGTCCTGAGTTCAATCTCTGGTACCAAAGGAAAAAAAAAAGAATAGTGACCATACCAGGCCTTTCTTCCAGTCATTAGTGACTTTGAATATTCATTCCCCGAATAAAATAAAATTCTACCCTCTCAGATACACCTGTTTAAAACCCTTTAACAGATTTTTAATGCTTTCAAAATAAAAAGCAGCAGCAAAACATTTCTCAGCATGCCCCACAGGCCTCACATGGTCTAGCCTGGCCCCATTGGTCCAGCCTAGTCTCACATTCCTTCTTTCAGTTACAGTGGAGCCTCGAGCTATGACCAGCATGGCATACAAACAACTGGGGTTATAATTGGAATTTTAGTTCTAATTTATGACCAGAGTTTTGAGTTATGACCCAAATGCCAGCTGTTTGTGCTTCCAGATGGTCTCAGGTATAGATTTAACCCTTAAAGAGTTCTGGAAGGAACATTACAACATCCTTTCCTGTGGGGTTAATTGAGAAATCCTGGGCCAATATCCCTCTAAGGACACTGAGATCTACCTGTATACAGGAGAGAGACTTTGAAGGCTGTGTAGAGGAGCCTGAGCCTTCAAATGACCATCTTGAGTTACAACCAGCCCTCAGGAATGAGTTGAGTTTGTAAGTCAAGGGTCCACTGTATTTATGAGTGCCATTTCCTTCGTATCACAGGGCCTTTTCACAGGCTTCCTGCTCTGATTCTCACACTCTTGTCTGCTCTTTGAATTCTTTTAACTCTTATTTATGTTTTAGATCTTAGCTCAAGAACCACTTCCAACAGGAAGACTTCCCTGACCTCTCTCGCTAGGTCAGATCTTTCTGGGCTGTAATAATACCATATATGTCCATTTGTATATCTGTCACGGTTGTAATTTTAAATCTCATAATATGGTTATTTTTAAATTAACATTAGGTGTTTAAAAATAAAAATGAAATAGAAAAATCCATACAAAACTATCTAGCTTTGATTCTTTTTCTCTTTCATCCCATTATTCCTTCCTTTAGAAGTAAATATTATTAGTTTCTTATTTATATTTCCAGTATTTCTTTGTTGCAAGAACAAAGTGCCCCTTTGTGACACATTCTACAGTATGATTTTCCCATTTAAAAATATACTCTGAATATTGTTCTATTTTGAGACATAGGAACCTCCTGTGTTGGTTTTACAATTGCATTATATTCTCCCATGCAACTGTTCTATTGCTTATTATCAGTTCCTCTTGCTGGCTCTTAGATGGTTTTCAATCTTTGACTACTTCAAAGAATGCTGCAATGATAACCACAGATGTGTGCTTTTATGCATGTGTAGGCTTCATGCAAACAGGCAGAAGCAAAATTGCTTTGATGGGGCGAAGGGTACCTGCATACCTATGTTAATAATGTGGGTACATATCAGCATATTACCCTCGTGGTGGGCTGTATCATTTTGCAGTTTCATCACCAGGATGTTATCTATTTCTCCACACCCTTGTCAGTGACATTGTCCACTTTTTGCTGAGAGGTGAGAAATGGTCATCAGTCATTTGTAGTGTGCATCTTTCTGATTTTGAGTTAGGTTGAGTATCTTCTCTGTGTGTGCTGCTGTTTGTGTTCCTTGTCCATTTTCTATGGGGTACTTAATCTTCTTTCTCTTATCTATGGGCTTTTTATTAGGGAGATCAGCCATGTATCTATGATGTGTTGTAGGTATTTTATGACTTTCCATATGGTGTTTTGGGGTAGTAAAAATTGATTTCCCCAGCTGACACACTACCATTAGGGAGGACAGATCCCACATCTCTTCTGATGCCATTAAATCCCTAAAGCCTATTTTTTCACCTATCAGAAATAGGGGATTTGTTAAGGGCGGTCTGTAAGAGCCCCTTCACTTCTGAAAGTGTGTGATTCTGTGTTTTTCTTTTATGTTTGGTCTTTTAGGGTTTCCTTGCCTTCCCTCCCCTCTGTACCTCTGAGCTTGGGGTTGGAGCTGGCAGAGTGCACTGTGGCAGCCAACACGGTGTTACCTGAGGACTTCTCTGAGGAGGAGCTCACCTCTTTTTCAGTAGACATTTTGCCATCCATGGTACATTTTCTCTGCTCGATCTCCTCAGCCTTCGTTCTGGTCTTTGCTCCTGCTTGTCTGGCCTTAGGTCTGTCTCCAGCTCTGTCAGCTTGGACCCAGTCTCTTCCATCTCCAGCCCATGAGCTGCCTCTGGATGATGTTTCTTATAGCCTAGCCCTTTCAGGGCCTTTTCCCACCTACCTTCCTTGTGCAGCTATTTCCTTTATTATTAAAGATCCAGGGTCTTCCACAGGAAGATCTCAAACTTTACCTTCTGTGATGAGTCCCTGCTGCCCTCCCTGGTATCTCTTGACTCCATCATATACCCTTGATCTTCTTCTTAGCCTGGTCCTTCCACCTGACCTGCCCTTCCAGGTGCAATACTTCCCCTAAATCATTGCCCATTTTCTACCATACTTCTACCAACCTGGGATGCTTTCCCAGATCCCACAAAATAGTTGAATAAAGGATTATATTGTTTATTTTACTTAGAAGGGGTGTACATGACTCTATCTACCAGAGCAGAATCCCTTTGTGGACAGAAATGTTTTCTTATAATCCTCACCGAATTTTGCAAGAAATCTGTATAGACTAGAAGTGACACCCACTCTTGGGAAATTTAATTGTAATTTGTACACAATTCCTGGGATGGATAGTAAGTTAAGTAAGCGTTAATTAGTAGAGAAGATTTTTTAACATTATGGTTCATGGGAACATTAATGTACACTCCTTGCAGGTGCATGCGTGTGTGTGTGTGTGTGTGTGTGTGTGTGTGTGTGTGTGAGACAGGAGAATAATGTTGAGAGGGGGGAAAAGTATATATTGATTAGAGGTGAAGGCCATTGGGGGAAAAGCATTTTTAAATCTGTCCTTTTGCCAAAGAGCAACACTGCTCATTTCTGATACAGACTCCCTCATTATCCTGACTAATTATATCTTTTTGATTTTGGGTAAAATTGATCCATGAATACTTTTCTGGTAACCCATAGCCTTTGCCTACCTTGTCACCCTGACAGGTTAATAGCATTCTGCACAGGTGTGTTA